TTGAAACACTGTGCTCTTGCTCTCTACCAACCTCTTCACCATCTCTTTTCTCTGAGTTTATCCCAGAAGTATCTCCCTCTTGACTGGCGCACGCATTCAATAAAACCTATATTCAAATCCGGTGATAAGAGTTCCATAAGAAACTACAGACCAATCTCATTACTATCGGTTGTTTCAAAGGTTCTAGAAAAGCTCGTATTTAACAGTATTGTGGGTTTTGTAAGTGACTCTATGTCTGTCTCCCAGTTTGGTTTTTTACGCGGCCGTTCCACCCTGCAACAGATGCTTGTTTTCTTTAACACTCTTTTAAGCTCTGCTTCACATACAGATGTTATTTACCTAGACTTCAAGAAGGCATTTGATTCTGTGGCTCATAATGAACTTCTTTGCAAGCTCTGGAAGTTTGGAATCACTGGTGATCTCTGGCTATGGGTGAGAGCTTACCTGTCTAACAGAGTCCAGTATGTTTCTATTGGCCAATCAACTTCTCCCACGTTACCTGTTATCTCTGGTGTGCCACAAGGAAGTATCCTCGGTCCAGTTCTCTTTCTCATCTTTGTTAACGATTTGCCCTCTACGTTATCCTTTTCCAAGGTTTTACTTTTTGCTGACGATGCTAAGTGCATCATGCCAATTTACTCCCTGCAAGACTGTTTGAATCTGCAAACTGATCTTTCTAGACTCTCTGACTGGTGCTCAACTTGGAACCTGCTTCTAAATGAAGAAAAGTGTTCTGCTATTCGTTTCAAGCCTAGGTCATCTCCTTCGTCGTTCAACTATCGTTTGAATGGTAAACAAATCTCCTCTTTAGCTGCACAAAAGGATCTCGGTCTATATGTGTCAGCTGATCTCACCTGGCGATCCCATTATCAGTTCATCTCTTCTAGGGCCTACAAAATGTTAGGTCTTCTACGGAGAGTTTTCTCCAGCTCTGTGTCGGTACCAGCAAAACGCTCTTTGTACATTTCTCTTGTTCGTTCCCAGCTTCTTTACTGTTCTTCTGTATGGCACCCATACCTTTTAGTGGATATAAAATATCTCGAGTATGTCCAGAGAAGGGCAACCAAATTCATCGTCAGCAACCCTCTCTTGGACTACAGGAATCGACTAATATACCTTAATCTGTTGCCCCTGATGATGGAGTTTGAAATTGTTGACATTATGTTTCTGGTCAAGTCTGTAAAGTTTCCATCCGGCCATTTCAATATACACGAGTTTGTCCAGTTCTGTAGTCATTCTACTAGAGCTGGCCATAGTTACAAGCTGAAACACCCCCTCGGTAGAAGTAACTATGAAAGGAACTTTTATTTCAATCGGATTCCTCGTCTATGGAACTCCTTACCTTTCTTCGATATAACTCTTTCTCCTTCTGCAATAAAATCCAAGTTACGAGCATATTTCTGGGATCATTTCATGTCCAACTTCGATTCAAACAATATGTGTTCATATCACTATCTGTGTCCATGCCCCAAGTGTTCTCAATTACCAGTCAAAATGCATTTTAATGTTAGTTTGTAATGTTTTGCGTTTGTTGTTGTTTTATCTGGCTGCTGGCTTATGCCTTCAGTCCATCAGCACAGTCTATGCATGTACTTCACCTTTTTTGTTCTTCAATTCTCGTTTTCCACCGCCTGTGTTGTAAAGCATAATAATAATAATAATAATAATAATAATATATATGCCCCAAGACTTCCTACGTGCCCCTCAGTTCCCCACCAGAGAATTCGCTTCTTAGCGATTTCGCGATTTCATAATCATCATATTCTTCTTCTTCTTCTTCAGACCCGCTAGCTCCTTACGGAAGCAGTTGAAGCGCTGAATTTTTACACAGAAACGTCTCCAAATTTTTCCGGAGGTGTGCACGAATATCAGCGATCGCTTGTTTATTGCCGCAAGTCACTACGGTAGATCATTGAGCTCTTCCACGGTAGTCAATGAACAACGCCATTTGCTGCTAACTCAGCATCAGTGAGCCGCATGCGCCGAGGAGGGCGTTTCCCCAATGCGGTGCTCGCGCATTTCGTGCGTGAACCAGGTCCACGACAGTGGCGGATCTAGGCTTGTTCGTTGAGTTCGAACGAACCACCCTTTTTGCCGGGCCGAGTGCATCACGCCCCCTCCTCTCTGCCCATGTAACGTATATTATATACCCACGTATCCGCCGCGCAAGCAGCGGCGGCGCCTTTGTGCGCGCGAGCCACGGCATACATGAGGCACGGTCATGTTCTCCAACATGCTCCATTTGCTGCACGACCGCGCAGTTTATCGTGTTCCCTTACTGCGTGTGGATGCTTGAATGTATCAATTGTTGTAAGCATAATAATAATAAT